TTTATATCCAATGTTAGGTTATGAACATTTCCAGATTCTTTAAAATGTCGATAAAATGTTCCAAGATAATGCTCTTACAAATTAATTTCTGATCTAGTTAAACGAACTGTAGCAAAAAAGGATGCCTCTTACAATATATAATAACCTAACAAAATCCTGTTACTGTTACTAGTTCCAATGTTATGACTGCGAAATGAACTGCTATATAGTACTTGTACAACAGGAAAAGACTGATGAGGTTAGATGCAGTGAGAAATACAAGACTGTGAATAATGTATCTCTGTATCATACTGATTTGCCACGAGTAATCAAAAAATACCTGCTTCGACTTAGGCACCCGAACAGTATCACAACCCACACACAAATTAAGGGACTTATGGCACATGTATATTCGCTACCTTTTTGTACCAATATTTGTGTTCAAATAAATAATACCATAACATGCTTCAATGATCTGGCGGCATGATTTTGCAACCATCATTTAAACTACCCGAATGCTCCCTTGTTTTGAAGACGCAACTGGCTAATATTCGATTTCGTACGCTTTCTTAGACGAATCCCATTTTTTATTTCACTCAGCAGCTCATCTCTAACAATTTCTCAAACCTTTCTTGTTCCAGGATTTATATTACCTGGATGGTGAACCTTAGAAATACACTCTAGTAATATTTGTAGAGAGACAAATTGCTTCTAAACCGGAACCATGTCATATAACCCACCCTGAAGACTATTTCGTAAAATATCCTACGGATGTTTATTATCACGACTCGTGAATGTGATTCAACTACTTGACTTGATTCAAGTATATAGCGTATTTGTAGAATTGGCTCGACCATTCTTCCCGTTCAAGCCAAATGAATTGAATCCATTTGGATGGCATAAAAACTGAAATGAAGAAAACATCTAACTGATCCAAACAAATTGAGCATTAGGCAGAAAGCTAATAATAAATATACTTTTTGTTCGCTAAAAAATTCCCATCATATCAAAACAATTGTATGAACGAAGAATATTCTTTTCAATAATTTCTCATCAGGTTCTACAATTATAAATTCAAATTAATAATCCATAAAATTGGCCAGATTTAAGACAGAGTACATCATTTGGAAGTTGTAATATGTGAATTAAGAATTGTTGTTTGTTATAAAATCATATCGTCAACGTTGGGGCTGTTTAATATAAAGTGTTAACTTGAATCAGTTTATAAGCGAAATGAAATTGTGCGATAAATGATGTACTCTGTCTTAAATCTGGCCAATGTTATGGATTATTAATTTGAATTTATAATTGTAGAGCCTGATGAGGAATTATTGAAAAGAATATTCTTCGTTCATACAATTGTGTTTTAATATAATTAGAATTGTTCAGCGATTAAAATCTTGTGATCAACCCATTGCGTTGAGGGCACTCAATAAGTTCCTGAAGTATAACGCAAAGTTCACAGAAACGAAAACATTATTGGTATTTATAAAAAACTGTATCGAATCATATCATTATCCGAAACTGTTCTATAAGTCATTGCGCCGTAATCACGTTCATCCAAATAGAAAAACATTAAAACGCTATGCACTTAATAAAATTGACACATTGAATAATGACTTGATAGATATAGAAGTTAGTATCGCTCGCAGACGATTTGTAGTTGATGAATTAACAGAAGACCTTAAGTCCCAGTTTATGGAGTACGTCACAAAAATAAAAAAGAAAGGTTCAAACAAGAAACATATCCAACTTCTCAAAAGCCTAGAAAATCAACCAGTTGAAAATAAATTTCCGACTGAACCAAAAAAGTATGTGCATGATTTTTCCCGTACTGAATTAAATAAAGAAAAACTTGAAGTATTAGCACTTGGTCTAAAATTCTATGATACACGAAACCGTGTAAATCAAATCGACACGGACATCCAGTTTGAAAACCTGAATCGTCAGACAGATCTAGTTCCGACCTATGATCAGGAACTTGAACGTTTCAAATCAAACCTAGTTGACTGCTGCTATCAGTTTAAGAATAGTAGATATAACTACTAAAGTATTCTAAGAAACAGGGAGGCCATAAATGAACTTATTGGTGACGAGAATCTGATTATCACAAAACCCGGTAAATGAACAGGAACTGTCTTAACAAAAAAGATGAATAACGTCCTGTATGATCCTCAAAAATTTCAGAAACTGAATAGCCAAAAAGATGTCAATAATAAGATTGAGAATGAACTGACTAGATCTTTAAAAAAGCTGAGAGATCAACAGATGATTCCAACAGACGTACGAAATAATTAAGCCGTTAGGTACGCATTTACCTAGGTTATACGGGCTGCCGAAGATACATAAACCGAATATCCCATTAAGATCAATTTTGGACATGTACGATTATCCATATCATATTGTAGCAAAGTGGTTAGTAACCGTTTTGAAACCAATGCATAAACGCCTGATGAAACATAGTATTAAGGATGTATTACAATTCGTTGACAAGATTAAAAACATAAACACGAAAGACCAAACGATGATGTCCTTTGACGTAGCATCGTTGTTCACAAATGTCCCACTCAGATGAACTGTAGAATATATTTGTGAACAACTAAGAGAACAGGAACTGGAAACAACAATCCCTGTGGAGATCATCAAAGAATTATTACTAAAATGTACTATGAATGTACATTTCAAATTCAGTGGTGAGACCTACAGACAAATATATTGTGTCGCGATGGGTTCACCCCTGGGTCCCGCGTAATGACAGACATTCTCCTCTCTAAATTGGGAAACGACCCACTAACACAAGAGGTCAAAAAGTTTTCATCCTACTGCCGATATATGGATGATACATTTATCCTTTGCAATAACCGGACGAACTTCCTAGAAACACTCGAGCGTTTCAATACAGTTCACTCGTCCATAAAATTCACATAGGAGAAAGGAAATGGGGGTAGAATGGCCTTTCTAGATGCTCTACTTACAAGGAGGGTTCGCTAGAAAGAAACATAAACAGGAAAGTCACCTGGACGGGTCAATGTACGGACTTTCTTAGTTTTGTCCCTCTACAACACAAAAGGAGCCCTATTAAGACACTACATCATAGAATCAAGACTATATGCTCTGTGGATACGATTGAATATAAAACAAAGTCATTATACATAATCTGAAGGAAAATGGAAATCCCGAGAAATTTATAAATAAAAACAGCTAGTAAAAGACAGCATAGAGAATGCCCAACTGTAAATAAAAAGCCTCTGTATATACGCTTACAATCCAGAGGCGATGCACCAAGTGAAATGCTAAGAATTAAGTTAAGCAGATCAATTCAAAGGACTTTTAATGCGGGTAAACTACAACTAATATTCTCCACACGACCAATAAGATAATTTACCTAGACTAACCACCTCCTGTATCTATCAATTCAAATGCTCCTGTGGAGCAAGTTATATTGGCAGATGTTCTGGGAATTTGTACATCCGGGCTCGTGAGCACCTCTCCGTGTGGTTAAGCAGAGGTAGTCAGAACTGTTAACAGCTACATCTTAGACCATCTAGTTCAAGCAGAACATACAGCCAACATGGAGCAATCTTTAGCAATAATTGGTCGTGTTAACAGCAGTCTACCTGACTCAATCAGACCGCGAATCCTACAGACGGCTGAATCAATTGCTGTTCGGATCAAAGAACCAGAGCTTTTCATCCAAAAGATGTTCAGTCACTCCTTTTACCCTGACCAACTAGTTAATTATTAATTTTATATGGTGACGTAATCTGATTCATTTTATGTCCCGAACTTATTATTGCTATTGTTATTATCATTATCTTTACATTTGATAACCTTTTGAAGAATTTATTCAATATCCACTATCTGACCTCATCCATATTATTCTACATATTACGTAATCTCCCATTTTTATTCCATTATTTTCTCTCTCACCCCATGTTGACCATATTTATTCTGATCATTTATCGCACAATTTCATTTCGCTTATAAACTGATTCAAGTTAACACTTTATATTAAACAGCCCCAACATTGACGATATGATTTTATAACAAACAACAATTCTTAATTCACATATTACAACTTCCAAATGATGTACTCTGTCTTAAATCTGGCCAATTTTATGGATTATTAATTTGAATTTATAATTGTAGAACCTGATGAGAAATTATTGAAAAGAATATTCTTCGTTCATACAATTGTGTTTTAATACTTTTTGTCGCATGCCGAGTATTCACTTTGAAGGAGCGGCTTACATTAAGTCAGAAATACAGTTTTTTACTCATCGGGATATAACGAAAGATATGTTTATTAAAGACAATTAACTGTTCGCAAATGTGCAGTAAGCCAATTATTATATGTGAAGTAGTTCTCATTCATTCTTCCTTAATGAGTGTTCAAAACTAACGATCGACAATAATGCATATAACCACGAGCAGAGTATTAGTAAAATGACTTTCAAATATCCAACGTACTCTAGTTAGATTAAAAAACCTGATCATTATCATCACAATATCTTGAAACACTTCACAAATTGTAAAATTATCGGTATAGTCGTGATGTAGCGTTATGCATGTTGAAATATCAGTCACCCAAGTTAATTTTTGGGTAAACAAAGATGTAAGAAATTATTGAAATGTACTAATCGTTAAAGATAACGCTATGCTTACTGGTTGATGTTGCTCTCAAAGATACTGAATTATACTCGTTTTTCCTGCTTTTCGTATTAAGTACTAGGTTGTGTTGATGATGGCTGAATATATGAAAGGGGGATTAAATGTCAGAATAAAATTAACGCGCTGTTTCATGCAGATAATGTAACAGTCGTCGATCCAACCACAATAGTCAAAATGGATTTTTAAGTCGCTGCTTTAAATTTTTTAAACCATGTGTAATGTTAAACTTGGCGTCTTAATACCCTTGAAGTTCCTACCACATTTAATGACATGTCATTTATTGTTCCGAGTGTTTTGTTTTCTCAGTTGTTAACAGATTTTTGGAGAACACAAATATACTGTAGTGGATACTGTTATTGTGTCGTTTACATACTGAGTAACAGAATTTTATCCAAAACTACTAGGTTTTTTTATAGCACCACATAATATTTTGTTGGGTAACCTTAACCTAAGGGAAGCATTTCGAATAAATATGTTGATAGCATTGATTGTAGTATGTACTCCAAAAAGAATCCAGTACTTCTTGTCAAGGAAGAGTCAATGACGATTAAAGAGCGGCTCGAACAAAATTCTATTCGTAATAGTAAAAACTGAATAGAACACAGATATAAGACATCGATTAATTGCAATATGTTACCCCAATGAAACATTCACATTCCTAAAGACAAACTGTTTTGAGTTAAAAGCTTGGTAGTGGCACACTTACGTCCACAAAAATAAAGCTTCAATATTATGAGTAGAACATGATGTGCTTCTAAACATGTATATCAATTGACCAGATATCGTTAAGATTTCTCCTTCACTATATTTTAGTTTCAAAGATCGATTTGTAAAGCCTGGTGAAACAAACATTATTATTTACTCCCAATATCGCCATGCTATGGAAAATTATTAAGCCGTTCATAAGGTTTGATAATCTGTGAAATCTAATTCAGTAATAATGGTAATAAAGCTGAATACCCGGATTAAAATGTTCTCTTTGATTTTAAATAGCTCATTTACTATAACCAAATTGACTGGATTCTGCATATAGTTATGGATAAAAAGAGTAGATTCAAGGAGATTGGAAAAATTCTCGAAATGTGGCTATATATAAGGTTTTAAAATACATTGGTTAAAATTGCTCATAACAACAAAGATATCTAGAATAAAGGTAGAAGCTTGTTTTAAAATAGTGCAAAGTGAGAGATGAATACTTTTTATACACTGAAAATTGTATACAGGGAGCATAATTCATCGGAACAATCTTGAAAATGAGTCAAGTGCATGTACGATCGTTGAACTCCGGGATGAACTGAAAAAGAATAAAAAATGAGATTATAAAAGTGGTCATGTATATTGCTAAAATCGATATGCAAGAATTCAAGTCTAGGAACAAATTAAAGTATACAACAACGGCCTTCAGCAGCGCATTAAATATTATATATCTAATATACATTCAATTATATGTAGGGAGTTGAAAGAATGCAGTTGGATTTGTTATTTAAGCCAACTAATTTAAATATCTTTGTTGAAAAGTTTTACTTGTCAAGCGCAAATTTGTCTTAAAGAAACGATAATCCAACCCGTATAAATACCTACTAATCATGTTTTTTTTTCATAATCAGAATTGCATCTCATCAGTCTATTAGATACTACCTAACTATCTGTTAACATTCAAAAACCTCTGGGTATCTGAATATTAGTATCACAGACGAGAATATTTTACAGAATAAAACGCTAATATATGAACTAGGAATCTTCTTTACAATAAATTCTCATCATAATCCATACTGGAGATTACAAAAGAAAACCAAATCTTTCTGGGCGTACATGAAATAGGTCAAAAACGTCAAGCCCGGCCGTTGTTGCTACCTTGAAGTGGTAGTCAGGCGTGCGCATCGTGATGAAGCAACCATGCTATACTGGCTGGAACAACCGTTCCTCAAGGTCCTACCATGCCAGACAGGTCAGTTGAAGAGTGGTAAGACTAAAAGCAACAAACCGAAGGCGAAGTCGTATTGCTGACTATACAGAGGTGTGATGGCAGTGAGGTGTTTCCTTCAGACAACCAGCATGACAGCGATGCTGCCTTCTCACAAGGAGGGGTGGGGTTAGGGAAGGTCGACCCTAAAAATGTCACACCTCACTTTATACCACGGATATCCGTCTACGGCGGTAAGGTATCAACAAGTACAGAGCTAACACGAAAATTACCCACAAAAAGATCGTGTGTGACCGACCTCAAGCAGCTGTCCCTTGGGCACTGCAGTCACGCTTTCAGGTCAATATGACCACCTCTAATCCAATTTCCTTTTCAGGTACCTCTAGAAGAACCCTTCTACGGTGTGGGCAACGGGGAAGTGATAAACACCCTCATACCTCTAACATCACTCAGGACTACTGTATTCATAATCAACCTTACTCTTGAATTCCTATTATTCCTCCTACATCGACTTTCAACTCTAAACTTCCTCTTTCGGCTTCCTCCTCAAGTGTCACCATAGCCAATGATTCTAGTGCTCAAAACACCTCGCTCCAAACTACACATTGCAGTCTTCAACGTACGCACACTATGTTAAATCGGTCAGCAGGCCTCCTTGTATAAAAACTCCAGAATCTCGTAACATCGATGTATGCTGTCTCCGAAACACGCATACGGGATCCTAGTGTAGTCATTCACTTGACCTCACCTCGGCAAAACGGAGAGCCGACGAGATACACCCTCCGTGTATCTGGCGACCCGATGGCTAGTCCTCGTGGACTGACAGGTGTAGGCATAGCGCTAAGCATGAGGACAGAACAAGCACTATAAATGTGGATCCCCGTTAACAGAGTCTAAGTGCTGTTAGGCTAAACGGCTCCGTAAGAATTCGAAAGGACAGGGACACACGTCGTTACCTTTTTGTCGTTTCTGCCTACGCTTCCACTGACTGCAGCTCAGATGAAGTGAAAGATGAATTTTACAGAAAGCTAAACGTTCAGACATAGTACTCGTAGCAGGCGACTTTAATGACCAAGTAGGTTGCTTAAACCAAACAGAAAGGCATTTATGTGGGTATTTTGGTATTCCGGCACAGCGAACAGATAATGGTGATCGTCTGCTGTAACTGTGCTCAGACAAACGTTTATTTTTAGCAAACACTAATTTTAAGCATAAGTACAGACATCGTCTAACATGGCGACCCCCTCCACCAAGCCAACGATGGACTCAAATAGACCCATTAGAATTGAACCGAGTAAAGAGAAAACTAAAAGTAGGCTCTAGGAACAACTGAAAACGAGACGGACCCAAATGTTGCTTCGAAAGATATACAAGCAGCTGTGTGTTATGACTTGTGAACCTGTGTGCCCTGTTTATTGTATAACGATTGAAATTTTGTCGCAAATCTTTGATGAACAGTCATCCTTGTTTAATATTCGTTATCAAAGTCTCAATATAACAAAAGCAGGTGATGATGACTGGGTGAAGAATGCGGGTTTAGTAAACCGTGAATGTGAGCGCTTCAAACTATCAGCAATGACAGAAGATCAGTTTAAGTGTCTTGTGTTCGTGTGCAGCCTCTAATCTTCCGAAAATGCTGATATTAAAACCAGAATTCTGAGTAAAATTGAACAATGTCCGAATATAACACTACAGAGATTGGTAAACTTAAAACATGACACTTCCATGGTCGAAAATAATGGCCAGTTGCCATACTTTCATGCTGTAAGCGGAAAGAAATATTCCTGTTCAAGAAAATTATCGCACACAGATAATCAGCCCTCATCTCCATGTTGGTTATGTGGAGGTTGGCATTATAACAGGTTCTGCCCATATAAAGAACACTTTTGTAGCAAATGTCATCGGAAAGGCCATAAAGAAAACCGCTTCAGGAAAAGAACCCATAAATGACATTCTTCGAAATCATACTCCAAGAAATACAGATATACTGCTCTAACCAACAAAATATTGGTATCACATAGTCGTGCAAAAATTTACCGCCAACGAAAGTATGTAAACCTAGATATAAATAAAAAGCGCGCCCGCCTGAGGCTCAACACTGATTCCGATATCACACTTATTAGTCGAAGAACCTGGAATTATATCGGTAAACCACAGGTGCTCCCAACAACCCAGTTAGTTCATAGTGCATCTGGAGGGAAATTAAATATTGTTGGAGAGGTTTGTTGCACAGTTTCAAAAGGAAACGCGAAGACGGATGCTACGTTATATCTCACAGAGAACCCAGGACTAAATTTGCTGGGTCTAGACCTGACAGAAACACTACAATTAGCAAATCACTCCATTAACCACATATGCAGCGCCATGAGAACCAATAAACCAGCGGAAAAGGATCTGAAGGATGTTGTGTTGGAAAGACATAGTCAAGTGTTTACGGAAGAGGTGGGGGAGTGCAAAAAGGTAAAAGTACTACTGATTCTTAAACCGGGAGTCACCCCCGTCTTCAGAACAAAACGTCCGGTACCCTGTACAGCGCTGCCTATTGTTGAACAAGAATTAGAGCGTCGGAAAAGAAGTGAAATAATAGAACCAGTAAACTTTTCTGATTGGGCAGCACCAATAGTGATTGTCAAAAAGCCAAATGGAAGTATCCGGCTGTGCGCAGATTATTCGACTGGATTAAACGAAGCAATTGAAGCCCATCAATACCCTTTGCCGGTACCAGATGATTTATTTGCGAAACTGAATGGGGGTAAGTATTTTGCAAAATTAGACCCATCAGAAGCTAATCTACAGATTCCAGTAGCGGAAGAGTGTAAGCAATACTTGACAATAAACACTCATTAACGGTTGTTCTGATATAACAGACTTCCTTTTGGAGTAAAGACCACCCCTCCAATCTTCTAACAAGCTATGGATACTATGTTACAAGATATTCCTGGTACCGCAGCCTATCTCGATGACATACTGATCATGGGTACAGACTATGCTGACTTAGAGAATAAGGTGGACACGGTTCTCAGGCGCATAGCAGATTATGGGTTCGGATTACGTACTAAAAATGTCATTTTTACATGGAGCAAGTCCGTTATTTGTGATTCATAAACGATAAAAACGGAAGAAAACCTGACCCTGAAAACGTCGACGCTATCAAGTCCATGTCTCCACCGACGGATGTATCAACTTTACGTTCTTTCTTGCGAATGGTTAGTCATTATGGCGTTTTTCTTCCAGATCTGCATCGCCTTCGTGCTCCTCTTAATAGCTTATTGAAAAAGGATACCAAATGGTTCTGGTCAACTGAATGCCAGGAAGCATTCCTGAAACCAAAGCAGCTCATATCACCAAACCATCTACTTACACACTATGATCCAGATCTTCCAATTATAGTAGCAGCAATAATTTCACACACCTACCCTGACGGGTCTGAGAAGGCGATCGCCCACGCTGCAAGATGGCCGTCTATGATTGAAAGGAACTACAGTCAGATAGAGAAAGAAGCCCTCTCCATTATATCTGCTGTAAAAAAAGTTCCACAACACGCTGTTTAGCAGACATTTCACCTTACTAACAGACCATAAAGCGCTACTGATAGTTTTTGGATCCAAAAATGTTATCCCTGTATATACAGCAAGCCGTCTACAGCGATGTGCAACTACACTGTTGGGCTATGATTTCAAGATAAAGTATCAACGGACAACAGATTTTGGACAGGTAGATGCCCTCTCAAGATTGATTGGTTCGCATGCAAAACAAGAGGAGGTGCTTGTAGCTGCCATAGATGTTGAGGTTGAGGTTCACAAAGTTTTGGCAGACGCAGTTTCCGGACTCACGGTCACATTCGAGGCTGACTCAGGTCTTGCTTCGAAAGATATACAAGCAGCTGTGGAAACAGCAGTGACATCTATTAGTGGTTTAAACCACAGGGTTACAAAGAACCAATGGATTTCTTCAAGGTCTATTGCACTGATGGGTTCCCGTAAACTCATCCCATCAGACTCTGAACATGATGAAGAGCGAAAACAAATCAGATCTAGATTAAGCAAAAGTATAAGGAACGACCGTGAGCAGTGGTAGGCAACGAAAGCAAAAGAGATGGAAAACGCGGCGGCTATAGGGAACACAAGACAGCTCTACAGACTAATAAAAGAAACTGGAATTAATAAGTCAAGTGTAAGTCAGACTATTTCGGAAAAAGACGACACCCTCATCTGCTCCCAGTCCAGACGTTTAGAACGGTGGGCGGGACATTTTAGAGAACAGTTCAGCTGGCCTTCAGCTATTCTACAACTACCCTCCATTCCCAGACAGTGTGAATGGAACATTGTAGTAGGTCCCCCAACTCTAGCTGAAGTTCAAGAGGCTATGGTTAATCTGAAACGAGGAAGGGCAGCTGGTCCAGATGGATTAGCTCCAGAGGTCTTTAAGGATGGTGGTCCAATTTTAGCGATTAGGTTGACTAATATTTTATCTAAAATCTGGGAGTTGGACGTTATCCCATCTGACTGGTCACAGTTACTTATCGTCCCAATATATAAGAGAGGGTCAAAATCATCCTGTGACAACCATAGAGGGATTAGTTTAACTAATATAGCATCTGAAATACAAGCCTCGATAATGATCGGACGCCTAACTAAGACTCGTGAACTGCAAACACGAGAAAATCAGGCTGGCTTCAGATCTTGTCGTGGTCGCATCGATCAAATAGTCACCATTCATCAGGTTCTCGAACACAGGCATACTTATCGGCGTCCGACAATGGTGGTCTTTCTTGACTTAGAAGCGGCATTTGACTCTGTGAAGCGAGAGGTGCTGTGGCAGTGTCTGTCATTGAATGGCGTACCTCAGAAATACGAAACAAGTGAGAAGCAGTTAATAAGATTTAAAAGGTTAGTTCGCACAATAATGAAATGGGAAACATTCGCAATTTTTACATACACGGACAATTACGATACATACTGATGTAAAATTAGCTAATACAGTGCATTTTACACGAGATAATTTAAGAAGGGAATATTAATTTTAGTTTGATAAAAAGTATTACACTAACCGTTATTATATGTATAAACATAGACAACAATGAGTAGAAAAAAAAACCAAAATTGTAGAACTAGGATTGAAAATTGTTTACACAAGTAGACTCACTTCATAACAACATCTTGAAAATCGGTAATTTGGTCTTGTGTAGCTTGGACTAAACCATCAGTACGCATAGTTGACAAATTGGCTACTGCGTTCTTCAGCCAGTTAAGAAACATCTATATATGAATACGGATATGAAAATATAGCATTGGAATTGGAAATACTGAATTGTGATCAACTTTTTTAGAAGTGACTTATTCCTGGTTGGTCTTTTGTTAAGATCGCATAATTTGAAAGATTTGACAAAATAAAAACCAAATGCATCGTTCAACAAGCAAAACTTAAGAAAGAAGATGCTAAAATAAGTCCGTTAACTATAAATTCATAATACTCAGTAAATTTCAACGGGGACATTTCCCAATAGAAGAACTAAACAATTACACATGATGTTTGCCGATTATCTACCTTTCTTTTGTTTTTATTTAATTTCGTTTTTCAATAATGTTAGCATTAGCTTTCGTGATTATCTACTATGCACGTGGGGAACAGAAATAACAAATCGACCAAAACCAAACTTGGATGAGGATGGGTAAATTAAATAGTTAGGTAGACTTAACGATGTTCAGATGTAGTCATATTGAAGCACTGAGTTCATTCTTCAAGACACCGTAGTAAACACGCATAATAAGGAGAAAAAAACTCGTTGGAGAAAACCAAGGAGTTCAAAATGACAAAAACTTTAAGGTACTGATTTAATTTGCAAAAACTATGCTACGTATCGAATAAGACAACACATAGAAGCTCTACCAAAGATAGATACTTACTTCTTGATTAATCATGACCTTAAGGTGATATAAAATATCCGCCATCTCGGGAAACCTTTCATCCATTAATCCAAGACAACATGCTTGCAATAATGCTGAAACTAACCGTTGTCCGCCGCAACAACTATTCATATTACTAGGATCAGTAGGCTGCGTAGGCCTGGAGTAAGTTAACCACACAATAACATTTTGAGCAGCTAGAGCTGACTGGCAAGAGGGAGTAGGAAGATGTCTACCAGACTCCAAAATCTGTACAACCTGCATTGGTGTCTCCTCACATGCCTCGTTCGTAAAAATGATAAGTTCGATGAAAAATCGAGCAGCTGCAGCTGATGCGCTGGTAGAAGCTGACGATGAACTCGATTCATCATTATTAGATGAGTTTGGATCCGGTGTATCATCACTAGACGAACCAGCACCAGGGCCGGTACAACACAGATTTAGAGAAGAGACAGCGGTATCGCAGAGTTCATTCAAATTGATCCTGCTACTGGTGAGAAAAACAGCTGCACAGTGTTGTACAAGTCGGGTGCATAACCGAAATAGATCTTCCACAGTATGCGGTTGTTGTATAAGGCCAGAACCAGAGATAGATTTCAGTGTTGGACCACTCAATGCCTGCAAAATGGTGGACATTTTAAACAAAGATTTAAAACTTCAAGACAGAATAGTATATGCATTTTACAATCGATAGACACAAATAATACAGATAAATATACTCTTAAATAAATATCACATTCATTAGAAGCCTGTAAAAATATTGTAAACAAATTAAGTTGTGTCATACTTTACACATTACTAAACAATATCCAAGTACAGTGCAAAAGCAAATTCTTGAAGTCTCGTAAGAAATTCATAAACAAATTTGTTTGAAAATACTTTCAAGAGTAAGAATAATGACCAGAGTAATTCATCTTGATTAACTAAATAGAAAATCAAATCAAATAAACAAACAAGCCATATTTCAATAACGTTTCGCAAAATAAACACACTTAATACCTTTGAAATAACTAGAAAGTAAACGAATGTTTGAGGATTTAACTCAAACTAAATCCCCTAGTACCTGGCGAATCTTATTCGAAGGATAAGAAAATATAATTCGACAAACAACTAATTTTACTCTGATAAAGACTCGTGTAACCTAGATGATTAACTAAGTAATCATAACGCAGCTATATGAAATAGGGTACGACAAAATTAAGGAAATATGTTTCTAAAATAACACAATAAAAATGGTAAATGTTGGACGAAGGGTTTTAATTCATTTGTATTGGTTGTTTGAGTCTGCTCATTGATGTTTATGACCGAAATCGATCAGTTTCTTTTGGCACATGTGCGTCCTGTGCGGACTGCCTCAATGTTGCCATTAAGTCACAAGCATTATAAGTAGAGATGGACTGGAATCAGTAGATAATGCCAAGGCATTCGTAGCGAACGGTACTGCGCCCGAGTCTAGAAATGAAAATCAATCCTGACAAGTCATAAATAGGATGAAACGCACCTACTGGACCACACTGCTAGCCACTATTCATCCCTGCTTAACAGGGTTTTAACAAAATACATTTTAGTTATACATGACCATGGAATTATTTAGCTACTTGAAAAATTTAGGTCTAAAACGTGCAGAAATCAGGAAATTTCCAACATCGATATTACATATGACGAAAACCGGATAACATCAGTAATACGTTCAAGTCAACATTTACAACCAAAGTTTTACATCTGGGAAATATTTATTTTATTTATTTATTTGAACACATATATTGGTACAAGAGAGCGCCAATATATATGAGCCACACAAAACAATGAGAATTCGAAGAGAAAGAAAAAAAGGTAAGGAGTGTGAAAAAAAGAGAACAATAACGAAGAGGTTGGTGTAAGGTAGTGCAGTAATAATAATAGTAATAATGAGGGGGAAAGGTACAATCAGAAGAAATCTTTCAGTTAAGGAAGAAGCAACCACTTTTTATGAAGAGAGTAAAAGGTTACAGCAGGATCGCCACTGGCTTCTATTCTGAGCCATATCTGATAACGTCTCTAGACACTGTGTTGCACCATCTCTAGGACGCCAGCCAGGGAGTCGTGAAGGACCAACACAAGCCAGTCCTTTGCAGCTTTCTTTCATACCACGACACCATGTCATACACTGACCACCTCTCCGCTTCTTCTAACCAGTCCCAGAGTCGACAAATAATGCACGACGAGGGATCCTCCGGGACAATATTCGTAGAACATGTCCAAGCTACCGAAGTCGATGTCTCAAGATAGTGACACCAATTGAATTATCGTCTCTATGCCTGAACACACGATGCCGAACCTCTGCATTACTAACATGATGTTGCCATTGGATGGCAGCAATCCTTGGGAGACAGTGATGATCGAACACAGAGAGTCGTCTAACATCCTCAACTCGAGTAGGCCAGGTTTCACAAGCATAGAGCAAAACTGATCTCACCGACGTGTTGTAGATCCGAACTTTTACAGCCAGACTGACATCACGAAGGCGTCAAAGATGGTCCAGATTGGTTTAAGCTGCCCTGGCTTTCATTATACGTGAATCGATCTCATCTCTCACGCCACCACCAGCACTTATGCAGCTACCCAGATACACCAACTTCTCAACTACTTCTATCTGCTCACCATCCACAGTGAGTACAGGATTAGAATCCTGCCAGTCTTGTAGAAGTACTTTGCACTTCGGAGGTGCAAAGCGCATACCATACCTACGGACACTGATTGCCAACTGATTAAGCGCGGATTGCATGCCTTGGGCATTATTTCACAGTAAGACAATATCATCCGCATACTCAAGGTCGAGAAGTCTTTCTCCAGGCAACAGATCCACACCACCATTACTTACATCCACCAGAGCTGTTTCCAGAATCTCATCGATAGCAAGGTTGAAGAGGAATGGTGAGATTGGGCAACCGCGCCTAACCCCACTGCTCGAATGGAACAATGGAGAGAGGTGGTTGTATGCCTTCACTCTACCGGAGGTGTTTGTATATGAAGCTTTTAAGATGTTAATAAACTTCTCAGGCACACCCTTCTTCAATAGATAATCCCAGAGAACAGTCCTGTTCAACGAATCGAAGGCAGTCCTGATGTCAAGAAATACCACAATTGTTGGCCTTTGATAAGTATGGCGGTGTTCTAACGTTTGGCGGAGGGTGAAGATATGATCAATACATCCTCGACCAGAACGAAACCCAGCCTGCTCCTCGCAAGTCAATCTTTCTCGGGTTTTGAACAACCTACGAAGTGTGACGGAAGCCAATAGCTTTGAGGCAGTCGGAAGTAGACTTATCCCCCGATAGTTAATACCGGAAAGACGTGAACCCTTTTTAAAGATAGGGATAACTATCGACTCATCCCATGACGTTGATACACTCTCTAGTTCCCAAACCTTTGTAACAACGTCGTCAATTCCTTAGTCAGAAAGTCACCACCGTCTTTAAACAGGGCCGGAGGTAAGTCATCTGGGCCGCGGTGATTTGTAACGCTTCAAGAGTTGGAGTTCCTTGCGGACTTCCGCCTCATTTGGTGGATCAGTCGTCACCGGCCATGGAGGGCAGGACAGTCTGACCGATGTTGCCGGAGCAGCAGGCCAGTTGAACTGCCCTTCGAAGAATTCTGCCTATCGTCCAAGACGTCGATGGATGTTATTTATTGGCATCCCGTCATCCTCACAGATTGTTTCGCTCACACCAGACTTCTTGCTGCCAGTGGCACGGATGTGTTGGAAGAGCTTCCGGTAATTACCAGATGCAGCTGCTGCTTCCAGCTCATTAGCACGCTTCGACCACCAGGCTTCTCGGTCCTTACGCAAGCTTTGCCCAATTCCCTTACGTAACACCCTTCGTTTATGGTCAAACTTACGGTCACCCGGAGTAGACCGACGGGCTTCAATGAGTTGTAAGGAACCTGAAGAAGCCCAGTGCTTATAAGCGAGACGTTTCGCGAACCCACAACTGACTGTACCCACCATTTTCATGGCGTCATGCAATTGCAACCAATGCTCATCTATACTTTTCGGTGGGGTGGTAGCTAGCCTAGAGGCTAGCTCGGTTCGATACTTACTAGCAACAGAAGTTGAAACCAGCTTGCTAATATCAATCCGTTGATGGCGGTCACTTCATTATCCACTGAGAAGTAAGGTAAGATTGGCGCAGACCAAGGCATGATCAGAGTCCAGATAGGTACTCCAAAAGGAGCGGCAGTCTTGAACACAACCACGCCGGCGGTAGCTGATCGCGATGTGATCAATCTGAGTCCAGGCTTGAGATGCAGAGGGAGGACGCCAGGTGGCACATCGGCGATGACTGTGCTGAAAGTTAGTACTAGCCAGAAACAGGTTGTGGTCTGTTCACAGTTGCAGTAGACGGTCCCCGTTATCTGTCCTGCGACCAACAAGTCCCCATCGGCCACCTAAACGACTCTCTTCTGTGCCTAGACGCCCGACCTGAGCATTCAAGTCTCCGTCTAGCACTACAATATTTGTCGAACGCAGATTCTGGAGAAGAACAGTTAATTGGTGGTAGAATTTATCCTTGATTGCATGACGAAAAGACACGCCGATTTCTTCTCACTTTGATGTGACTTTCTAATCTAACAACACATAACCGACTGTTAATGGGGATCCAATCGATTAGTGCTGCCTCAGCTCTAGTGCTTAGTACGACACCAACTCCAGCAAGACCAGACGAAGATGCCACAGGGTCCCTGGATAAACGCACGTAAAACAATCTTTTTGAAGCGACAGATGGAGAGCTAATTTGTAGTACTTTACCAATCTTTAATACGGGTCTCGGATAGACAGCAGAAATCGATATTAAGACTTTCCAAAGACATGGCGAGCTCTATCTGTTGTCCAACCTACATAAGTGTGCGAACGTTGAAGGCAGCCAGTTTGAATGGTGCAAGTGGTTTCAGAAAAAACTGCTTCACTATTCGTATTTAGTGGTATCATACAACTTTCAATCAGGCAGTGACTCGAGAACGTTTAGATAGAACCGAATTTCCACCAAAGACGAGCCGCTGTATAAGTATAAAAGAGGGTGAATAATGTGGTAAATAATAATAATAATAATAATAATAATAATAATAATAATAATAATAATAATAATAATAATTTGATTGTTGTTCGAAGCGAGAAAAGTAGTTTCCATAAATATAGAGAGTTCACATCATTTGCGTGTGGGCTGCGATACTGCCCGGGTGCCCAGACCGAAGCAGGTGGTTTTCTTAGGGGGCCACTCCCCGGGCCTTTGACCTAAAGATCTAACCCACAAGGCAGTGGAGCATCGTAAGGAGATACAGTCCCATGGTAGCCGGTGACCAAAGATTGGTTCATACGCCATTTGTTCCCTCAGGATACTGGAGCCCATGTGCACCATTGGTTTTGGATCCGGTTAAAGCGCCGGACATTCGCTTTACGTCCTCTCATTTCCGTAAACAACACCCCCGCCACGAGAAGGCAATGAGTAGGACTTCCCTGGCAGAGGCTGTATACGCGTGGCCGTGTGAGAGTATTTCGAGAGGGAGAGCGGACTCTCCCCACTCTCGGCCATACCAGGGCATTTGGGGGAAATATTTACAAATCTTCGCATAATGCATTAGGTATGCAATATTCAGAACATGTATTGCGGTGATTATTTTCGAAATAGGAAATAATTTACCACTTTGGTTTGGTGAAAATGAGCAATTGTCAAGTGTAATAAATCTTTTTTTAGCATAAATGGATGTTACTACAAGGGCTTGAAACCCGAACATATGACTGGGATACAAAACTAAAGTTTATACAAACTGATCGTTGGATTTAATTGTACTGAAACTGGATAAGAAAAATTTAGATATTTGTAATTTATTGCTAAACACTATTATGCTTGTGTTAATTTTTTTTACAATGCTCATTTATCTAATGAACTATTTTACGACACCTTATTTTGATCGTTTGTGCCGAAATTGAAGTTGCCAATGTAAATTTTTTTCAATTTAAAAATTACCTCATACACGTTAACCAAACCAACTCTGCAATCTAATTGTTCTCCGAATTCATCAACTAGCACGCTTGTTAAATAGAGAAAACTTGAATGTTGTCCTCCAGTTGTGTAAGACAGTACAATCTGAAATTTGAGAAAAACCGTTCGAAACAACATTGCTTTGATACATAAAAGTATGAAATTAAACCAGAAAAACAAACTTAGTTTTTATAGCAGCTTAAAGTCGACATTTTAACAGGACTCAAAAATGGATTCGAACAATTATTGAAAAGATTCATCACAGACGAAAATCTAATCTTACGTAAAATGTTAACATGGTAATCTACTCAAAGATCAAGTAAAGCGTGAAAACAACCCATTTTTCAATTTTTGAATGAAGCCTCAAAATGTCATGCTAGATACAGTTGCTAACAATATGATCATGATGAGTAGTGTTTAACCAGCCCATACAAATAATACAACTTTTAGACCGTGAACTGGTATTATAGTGATCATGTTTCTAATTTAACTTGTATTAATAAAGTGAAATGATTCTTACTTACATGTGCAGAGAAGCATTCATGATTTAATTTTGTAACTTACAAATCGTACTACAGCATATGAAGTGGGTTTGATTAGCCTAATTTATATAAAATATATGGAAAGTTGTTTTCCTTATATCTCTAATAATATATGGTAATCAGGGCTATGATGATTGAACTAAAGGTTGAAAAATCAGAAAATAATCTGATTTGGAAGCAGACATATAGCTAGCTGAATGAAGTAAACAAAAGGTAAGAATAAATGTTAACATAAAACACTATTACAGAGGCGATAAAAAAATAGTGATTTATCAATGTTTGGATTTTTTTATGGACTACCAGATGTAGGTAAAGAAATGTAGTAATGAAAATAATGATGATATTTGCTTAATTCAATATTACGTTGTGAAGTGATGGTCCAGACATTCGATTTTTAGCCAGTAAACGGCTGGTTTGAAACCTACGCCACATTCTTTAGTCTGGGGAACCGAAAAGGGCAAACTATCAGTCCGACCTAGAGTGTGACTTGAAGTGAAGTATCAGAATCTGAACCAATTATTCTGAATAAATATACGTAATTTCACATGTTCATTACGACATCAAATTACAAATAATCTTAATACAAGCTTTCCAAAACTTTTATGACTATGACGAACTCCTGGAATCTCTTTAGGATTACTGAGGTAAACGAGCGTTGAATATAAGTATCGTATTAATAATTCCGCCATAAAAACAACTATCACAGTGAACTGATTAATAAACTTAAAATCTGTAAATTAAATGATACATTACAGTTACGGTTACAGTAAGTACAACTTGTTAGACACAATTAAAGCATAAGATATCAACGTCAGAAGAGATATGGCTACATTTTGATTATGAATAATAATAATAATACCAGTGGCTTGTGACATCCCACTTGAACATAAGTAGTCGTAATTTTGTGAAAGGTTCAAATCCATGCTAGAAAATTCAACAGAAAAATAGCTGACCATCCTGATGAGGGATGTAAACTCTAATGTTGGGACTGAAAACACCAGGGAAGAAACCATCGTGGGGAGACATGGACTAGGATAAAGAAGGGAGAATGTTGGAAGACTGACAAATCTATGTACTTTCAGCAGCATGGTCATAGGTAACGGCATTTCCTCAATAAACGCATACGCAAAGCCACTCGCTTCTAAACAATCCACCACACAGTACACCAAATTAATCACATATGTATAAATAAGGTTCACATGAGGGACAATAATAAAAAGAGATGATATAACTTCATACTATAGGAAATACATGTGGATTTACTAGAAGAAACCACGAAGCAGAAAAAGTGAAAGAGAATAAAAGAAATAGTAACTTCAACATCCCAGATCTCAAGAAACACTAGGATAAACAACGGATCTCTGTAGACAGTTTGGGGGAGATTCAGGTAATGTAGGTCAACAAGGCAACAATCGAACAAGACCGGAGAAAGTCAAGGCACAGACCAAATGCACAGAAGCGAACAAGTGAGTGAAGAAAAGCACCAAGTTGAAATATGTAAAAGACCTAGCGACTACAATAAAACAAACTGGAAGGAAGGGACACGTCAAGCAACCAAATGATACAATCAAGAACCCATCAGTGCAATAGACCTTGAAGAAATCCATTGGTTCTTTGTAACCCTGTGGTTTAAACCACTAATAGATGTCACTGCTGTTTCCACAGCTGCTTGTATATCTTTCGAAGCAACACCTGAGTCAGCCTCGAATGTGACCGTGAGTCCGGAAACTGCGTCTGCCAAAACTTTGTGAACCTCAACCTCAACATCTATGGCAGCTACAAGCACCTCCTCTTGTTTTGCATGCGAACCAATCAATCTTGAGAGGGCATCTACCTGTCCAAAATCTGTTGTCCGTTGATACTTTATCTTGAAATCATAGCCCAACAGTGTAGTTGCACATCGCTGTAGACGGCTTGCTGTATATACAGGGATAACATTTTTGGATCCAAAAACTATCAGTAGCGCTTTATGGTCTGTTAGTAAGGTGAAATGTCTGCTAAACAGCGTGTTGTGGAACTTTTTTTACAGCAGATATAATGGAGAGTGCTTCCTTCACTATTTTGACAGCGTGGATAGGACTTTGTGGAAACTTCTTCGACACTATGGTGTACCTGAGAAGATCGTCAACATCATCCAAAATTCATACGACAGACCACTGTGCAAAGTTGTGCATGGTGGACAGCTGAAAGACGCATTCCAATAGAGGACCTGTGTCAGTCAAGGCTGCTTACTCTCTCTTCCTCTTTCTTCTGGTGGTCGATTGGATTATGAAGACCTCGACATCTGAGGGAAAGCATGCAATACAATGGACAGCTCAGAATCACCTAGAAGATCTGGACTTAGTAGATGACCTGGCCCTTCTATCCCATACACACCAACAAATTCAGATAAAGACAACTAGTGTAACAGCAGCCTCTGCATCAGTAGGCCTCAGCATACACAAGGGAAAAAGCAAGATCATCAAATACAGCACGGAAAACACCAACACAATCACACTTGATGGAAAAGATCTAGAAGATGTGGGATCTTTCACGTCGCCCTCAAATGCACTGGTACGGCCGAAAGTGGGGAGAGTTCACTCTCCCTCTCGAAATACACTCACATGGTGACGGGTACGCCAACATTATAAGGGAATTCCTACTCACTGCCTTCTCGCGGCGGGGGTGTAGTTTACGACTGAGAGGACAAAAAGAGAACATCCGGCGTTTCAACCGGATTGGTTGGTACGGAAGATCCACTCGGTAGAGATGAAAACCCTGATTCTAAACCAATGGTGCACATGGGCCCCAGGATCCTGAGGGAACAAATTGCAAATGAACCAAACGTTGGACACCAGCTGCCATGTGACTGTATCTCCTGACGTTGCTCCACTGCCTTGTGGTCAGAGACTCCGCGTGTGGCCTCCTAAGAAAACCACCTGTTTCGATCTGGCCACTCGGGCAGTATCACAGCCCACACACAAATAAAATGAAATGACGATAATTACTGAAAATACTACTCTCGCCTCAATTAAAATTCAGACAGTTCACATTCATTTTTATTTTTTATATACTACGACACTTATCAACTCTCTTTTATTCCCACTTTATGTATCGCGATTTTTCAACTCATACAAAAGCTTGCCTATGGTGGAAACTCTGTTCTATCTAAACGATCTCGAGTCACTGACTGGTCGAAAGTTGAATCCTACCATCGACTACAAATACTGACCCAATGTTTTTTAAATCGAATAAATACCATTCAAAATGGTCTTTTTCAACGTTTGCACACTAATGCGAATCGGACAACAGATAGGGTTGACTGTGTCTTTAGAAAGTCTTAACGTTTATGTCTGTTGTCTATCCAGGACTTTTATTCAACACCAGTGAAGTACTACAAATTAGCTCTCCATTTATCGCTTCGAAAAGCCTGTTTTACGTGCGTTTATCCGGGGACCCTGTGGCATCTTTGTCTGGTTATGCGGACGTTGGTGTCGCACTAAGCACTAGAGCTGAGGCAGAACTAATACATTGGATCCCCATTAATAGTCGGTTATGTGTTGTTAGATTAGAAAGCTCCATCAAAGTAAGAAGAATTCGGTGTAAGAAAAGATGTTTTTCCTTAGTCTCTGCCTATCCCACGACAGATTACAACCGGAATGCAATCAAGGGTGAACTTTAACACCAGTTAAATGATCTCCGGAAAGCTCCTTCAACAAATATTGTAGTCATCGCCGATGTGCCACATGGCGCCCTCACTCTACATCTCAAGCCTGGACTCTGATCACATCACGATCACCTACCTTTGGTGTGGCTCTGGCCAACAAATCAATTGTCCTAAACGAATCGATGTCAGCAAATTGGTTACAACTTTTGTTGCAACTAAATATCAAACCGAGCTAGGTTCAAGGCTAGCTAACATCCCACCGGAAAGTATAAATGAGCATTAGTTGCAATTGCACGACACCATGAAAATTGAGAGTAAAGTCACTTGCAGCTTCGTGAAACGTCCAGTTCATAAGCATAAGGTTTCTACAGGGTCCTTACAACCCATTGAAGCACATCAGTCTACTCTGGGTGACCTCGAGCTTGGCCACAAACGAAGATTGTCACGCAATGAAGATGTGCATAGCTTGCATAAGAACCGAGAAACCTGGTGGTCGGAGCGTGCCAATGGGTTGGAAGCAGCAGCTGCATCTGGTAACTACCGGAAGGTCTTTCAACTCATCCAAGTCACTGCCAGCAAGACGTCTGGTGTGAGTTAAACAATCTGTAAAGATGACAGAGTGTCAATCACCAACATCTACTGACATCTTGGACGATGGGCAGATTTTTTTAGAGGCAGCTCAACTGATCTGGTGACGACCGTCTGGTTAAGTAACTGACTGGGTTTTTTAAAAATTTCTAGTAGTTACAAGGTGTTCCAATATCGTGGAATTAGTCGATAGTCGTCTTTGTCTTTAATAGGAGTTCACGTAATCTATGCAACAATTATTGGGGGATAAGTCTACTTCCGGTTGTGTCCAAACAATTGGCTTCCGTCATACTTCGCAGATTGTTTAAAACAGAAAAGATCGACTCGCAAAGAGCAGGTTGGCTTTCGTTGTTATCGAGGCTGTTTTGATCATCTTTTCACCCACCATCAAATATCAGAGCACCGTCATACTTATTACAAGCCAACAGTCCTAGTGTCTCCTGACATCAAGGCCACCATCAATTTGTTAGACAGGATTGTTCTACGGGATTGTCTGTTGAAGAAGGGTGTGCCTGAGAAGTTTATTAACATCTTAAAAGCCTCATATACAAAAACCTCAGGAAGAGTGAAGGCATACGACCACCTGGGTAGCTGCATAAGTGCTGGTGGTGGCGTGAGAGATGAGATCGATTCACGTATAATGAAAGCCAGGGCAGCTTAAACCAATCTGGACCATCTTTGACGCCTTCGTGATGTCAGTCTGGCTGTAAAAGTTCGGATCTACAACACGTCGGTGAGATCAGTTTTGCTCTATGCTTGTGAAACCTGGCCTAATCGAGTTGAGGATGTTAGACGACTCTCTGTGTTCGATCATCACTGTCTCCCAAGGATTGCTGCCATCCAATGGCAACATCATGTTAGTAATGCAGAGGTTCGGCATCGTGTGTTCAGGCATAGAGACGATAATTCAATTGGTGTCACTATCTTGAGACATCGACTTCGGTAGCTTGGACATGTTCTACGAATATTGTCCCGGAGGATCCCTCGTCGTGCATTATTTGTCGACTCTGGGACTGGTGGCAAAAAGCGGAGGTGGTCGGTAGACGACATGGAGTAGTAGTATGAAAGAGAGTTGTGCAGGACTGACTTCTGTTGGTCATTCATGACTCTCTGGTTAGGATCTCAGAGATGGTGTAACACAGTGACTAGAAATGTTATCAGAAATGGCTCAGAATAGAAGCCTGTGGCGATCCTGCTGTAACTCTCTCTTATTTTCTTCTTTAACTTAAAGAATTCCTTCTGGTTATAGTTTTACCAACCGAACAGTTTTTCCCATCTATTACTATTATTGTTTCACTCTCATGCACTAATTCCTGTTGGTTGTTGTTCTTCTTCACTTTATTATGCATACTTCACAATCGCTATCCCTCTAGTGTGGCGCATAAATATTTGGCGATCCCATGTACCAACGTGTGTGTTGAAATAAATAAACGATAACCAACAAAATTTTACCTTAATGTGAAATGAATTTTACATTTTGATCTATTTAGCTGTCAGATGTTATAGTAGCAATAACATGACAGTATAAATTTATCATCAGTAATTGAACTTACTTTTTCAGCAAGCTCCGGGAGAAGATCTCGTAAGTGCACAGAAAAACAACGCACAATGAAACGTATGAGACGACAAACATGCTCCATTGGACGCATGCGCGAGGCATAATGTGTGAGTACACGGGTAACAACTGGCCATATTACTTCTCTAACTAACTGCAAGCATTCAGCTAAACAATTCTGAGCAGAAAGCACCAACTCGGACGTAGTACGATCAACAGCGTTGCGTTCCCTTGTGTCCCACTGACTAGAACTTGGGTTTCCCAAACGTCGTAAAAGGCAATTGAAAGTACGAAACAGTGCTGCTAGGTAATCAAGCCATACACGTGGATCACTGAGAGTATCTGAACCTTCGATAGGGACATTACCATCCATCAGCTAAAAACGATAGACAAGAAAAGAGTGAAGGATCATATGAACGTATAGAAATTGAGACCAACGAACTGACTGAACATTGGTAAAATAAAATGTGAACAAACATCCACTAAGTACAACGAACACAAGCAAATTGCAACAGGAGCCAGCTATCCTATAGCACAAAACTGGGTATCTAAAGTATTGGTTGTAGATATACTTAGTGTTTACAAACAGTAAACATCCATGTGTATTGACATAAATTGAAGCCGAATTCACTGATGGATATCAGACAACATATTGAAAGTGACCATTTCTTCCAAAAAGATGAATAGGATGAAACGTTTTAGCAATGACTTGATAGATAATCTTAATTAGTAATAGTATAGTAGAGTTTTAGCATATTCACTATTAGATTTATACTATTTAAGATATAGAGAATGAAAGTGGACATTAATTCATGTGCACACTAGACCAAAAACGGGATTATAGTAAGCCCATTCAACCACTTCATTATTTGTTTACTCACTGTAATCTAGACATTTAATCCACTATGTAAAATTATGTGTGAGTCTGATTGAGCGCATGTCTCCACGTCAATATTCATATGTTCTCCTATCGGTTGTAACACACACAAACTCACTGGTTTCTCTATGTGCTTCCATTCTGAGCGCTTACGGGTTTTTAACAATGATTAACAATAAACTATCTCTACAACAGGTGTTCTGGCATTTGAATAATACTACTAACCGACTGCTACCTTGACGTGGTGGTCGGGCGCGCCTATTGTGGTGACCCAACCGAGCTATATTGGCTGGATTATATGTTTCTGTAGGTTCTACCATGCCAGTCAGGTCGATTGGAGAACGGTAAGACCAAAAGCAGCAACTCATGGTCTGAGGGCGAAGTCGTATTGCTGACTGTAGAGGGGTGTGACAGCAGTAAGATGTTTCACACGGACAACCAACATCTACAGCGATGCTGCCTTCTCACAAGGAAGGAAGTGGTTAGTAAAGGTCGACCCTAAAAATGTCACACCTCACCTTACCTCACGGATTTCTGTCTCCGGCGGTAAGGCCTTTTGAAGAACGGAGCTAACACATTAAAAACCTTCCACAAAAAGGCCGTGCGTCTCCGAAAAGCACATACAGCATCCAAGTAGCGTCATTCATTTGACCTCACCATATCAAAATACAGAACCAACTCGATTCACGCTTCGTGTATCTGGAAACCCTGATGCTGCTTCCCGTGGCCTCGCCGGCGTAGGTATAGCATTGAGTCCTAGGGCAGAACTAGCTCTCTTAAACTGGATCCCAGTAGACAGTCGTTTGTGCGCTGTCCGACTAAACGGAACAGTAAGGACTCGGAAAGATAGGGAGACTCTTCGTCGTCTCTGTCTACATTCCAACTGACTGCAGCTCAGATAATGTAAAAGATGAGTTTTACAGAAAGCTTTCCGACCTTCTTTGAAAAGCTAGGCGCCCTGATGTAGTAATAGTGGCCGATGACTTTAATGCTCAAGTAGGTAAACTAAGCGATAGGGAAAGACACCTAGGCGGATCTTATGGTGTCGTGGCTCAAAGAACAGATAATGGCGACCGTCTGTTCCAGCTATGTTCAGATAACCGCCTGTTTCTTGCAAATACTAACTTCAAGCATAAGGAAAATCATCTTTTGACATGGCGACCCCCTAATTCATCCCAACGTTGGACCCAAATAGATCACATCACTATCAGCCACCGATGGAGGGGCTCGATAGATGACTGTCGCTCATTCTGAAGCACATGCTTAGATTGAGATCATGCTCTAGTACGAGCGCGTATCTGTCTGCGTCTTACTGGACGTAGGAAAGACGCTGCGAAGAAACCTCTTAGGGGCCTACTTAATGATAGTCAATCTAAGAGTATATTTCAGGAACAACTATGAAACACAGTTAGGCAGCCATGTAGGTGATGCCCACCCCGATGTAGCATGGAATGATATCCGAAAAGGTGTGGAAACAACAGTGATATCTGCTAGTAAGGTAAACCAGAAGGTTAGGGAGCAACACTGGATCTCAGCAGCATCTAACGCACTGATAGATGCTCGAAAACTCATTCCATCTGGCTCTAAACATAATGAAGAGCGGAGTCAGCTTAAGCGCGAGCTGACAAGAAGTCTACGCAATGATCGCGAACAGTGGTGGGTAGCGAAAGCAAGAGAGATGGAAAAGGCAGCGGCAATAGGTAATAGCAGACTCGTTAAGGAAACCGGAATTAGGAACCCGACCGTTAGCGAAACAATCTGAGAGAAAGATGGACATATTATTCATTCTCAATCCAGGAGATTGGATCGATGGGCAGAACACTTTAGGGATCAGTTCAACTGGCCTTCGGTCACATTTCGGTTTCCCACGATCTCCAGTCAACCTGAATGGCAAGTTAATGTAGGTCCTCCAACTCTTTACGAAGTTGAAAAGGCTATAGGAAATCTGAAGGGTGGTAGAGCAGCAGGCCCTGACAGGTTTACCCCTGAGATTCTTAAGGATGGTGGTCCAGTATTAGCAGTGAGATTAACTGAGGTCTCAGGTAGAATCTAGGAACTGAACGTAATCCCATCTGACTGATCTCAATCACTGATTGTGCCAGTCTATAAGAAAGGACAAAAGTCCTCTTGTGACAATCACAGAGGAATCAGTTTAACTAATATAGTGTCTAAAATATTAGCTTCAATAATACTTCGACGCCTAACTAAAGCTCGTGAAGAGCAAACTAGAGTAAACCAGGCTGGTTTAAGACCTGGACGTTGTTGTATCGACCAGATATTCACACTACGTCAGGTCCTGGAACATAGACACACATTCAGACGCCCCGTAAACGTAGTATTTCCCGACCTTAAGACGTCATTTGACTCTATTGATCGTGAGGTTCTATGGCAGTGTTTGCCACTGAAAGGAGTACCAAAGAAGTACACTAACCTTATAAAGGCTCTCTACTCAAACACAACTGGTCGAGTGAGAGCTTATGGCAAACTGTCATCAGAATTGATTGCCTCAAGTGGTGTTTGTTAGGGCTGTTCACTCGCTCCATTTTTGTTCAACTTTGTGGTCGACGTACTTTTAGAGATAACACTCTCCTCATCTAAATTTCCAGGGGTTGAATTTGTACCGGGAGGTTCACTTGTTGACTTAGAATATGCTGATGACATAGTTTTATATGGTGAAGACGCTGACAAAATGCAGTCTTCTGACCACTGTAAGCAACAATGCAAGCATGTTCGAGATGCGATTATCCTCCTCGAAATACAAAATGTTACTTCAGGATTGGGTGGCATCAACACTCGAACTAATGATAGGGAATGAAGTAATTGAGTGTGTCGACTGCTTCACTTATCTTGGGAGTCTCATCAGCCCTTGTGGTCTGGTGTGTGAAGAAATCTCAGCACGGATACAGTAGGCCCGAGTAGCTTTTGCCAACTTGCGTCATTTATGGCGTAGGCGAGATATCCATCTATCAACCAAAGAACGTGTTTACTGTGCAGCAGTTCGTTGTGTCCTACTTTATGGCAGTGAAACATGGCCGGTAAGAGTAGAAGATATTCGCAGGTTACTAGTAATCGATCATAGGTGTCTTCGAAACATCGCTCGTATATTCTGGGACCATTTATGTATTTATTTGGTACAAGAGGGCACCAAATATACATGCGCCACATAAAACAATGGGGATTTGAAGAGAAGGAAAAAAGGTGAGGAGCGTTAAGAAAATAAAATAATTAAAAAAACAATAACGAAAAGAATAAGGTAAGGTAGCGTAAGAATAATAATAATCGGGGAAACGAAAAGGTACAATCAGAAGAAATCTTTCATTTAAGGAAGAAGCAACCACTTTTTATGAAGAGAGTAAAAGGTTACAGCAGGATCGCCACTGGCTTCTATTCTGAGCCATATCTGATAACGTCTCTAGACACTGTGTTGCACCATCTCTAGGACGCCAGCCAGGGAGTCGTGAAGGACCAATACAAGCCAGTCCTTTGCAGCTTTCTTTCATACCACGACACCATGTCATACACTGACCACCTCTCCGCTTCTTCTAACCAGTCCCAGAGTCGACAAATAATGCACGACGAGGGATCCTCCGGGACAATATTCGTAGAACATGTCCAAGCTACCGAAGTCGATGTCTCAAGATAGTGACACCAATTGAATTATCGTCTCTATGCCTGAACACACGATGCCGAACCTCTGCATTACTAACATGATGTTGCCATTGGATGGCAGCAATCCTTGGGAGACAGTGATGATCGAACACAGAGAGTCGTCTAACATCCTCAACTCGATTAGGCCAGGTTTCACAAGCATAGAGCAAAACTGATCTCACCGACGTGTTGTAGATCCGAACTTTTACAGCCAGACTGACATCACGAAGGCGTCAAAAATGGTCCAGATTGGTTTAAGCTGCCCTGGCTTTCATTATACGTGAATCGATCTCATCTCTCACGCCACCACCAGCACTTATGCAGCTACCCAGATACACCAACTTCTCAACTACTTCTATCTGCTCACCATCCACAGTGAGTACAGGATTAGAATCCTGCCAGTCTTGTAGAAGTACTTTGCACTTCGGAGGTGCAAAGCGCATACCATACCTACGGACACTGATTGCCAACTGATTAAGCGCGGATTGCATGCCTTGGGCATTATTTCACAGTAAGACAATATCATCCGCATACTCAAGGTCGAGAAGTCGAAAAATAATTATGCACAGAGTGGGAATAGAAGAGGGTGAATAAATGACGTAGTAAATAATAATAATAATAATAATAATAATAATAATAATAATAATCATGTGAGTCATTTGATTGTTATTCGGAGCAAGAAGAATATTCTCCATAAGTAGACAGTTCATTTTTTGTGTGCGGGCTGTGATACTGCCAGGGTGCCCAGACCGATGCAGGTGGTTTTCTTGGGGTGCCACACCCCGAGCTTTTGACCCAAAGGTCTAACCCACAGGGCAGTGGACCACCGACTAAGTAACGCAGTTGTTAGGAAACGGGTACTAGGTAAGGATGGAAAATCAATTGAAGAAGTAGTGAAACTTCATCAGTTGGCTGGGATGGCTGGGACACGTGTTACGTATGCCCAACCACCGACTGTCCCGACGTGCGATGTTCAGTGGTGTAGAAGTAGGTTGGAAGAATGCTAGGGGCGGCCAGACCACAACATGGCACAAATCCATGAGGTCACTGATAAGTGGATTGAGCTGTGTTGGTAGGTTAGGATCCGCGAGACGATAGCAATCGATGGTTAGAGACCCTGAATGACATGGCTCAAAATCGTTTGCAATGGCGCAAGTGCATCCACTCTTTGTGTTCTCCCAAATTCTAATCTTCTGAAATCTTCATGTCCCTTTTTTTCCTCTTCCCAAATTTATTTCACTGTATTATACTTCTTGAATAATATCTTCAAACCCTAATCTTCCCGATTACTGCTTATACCCTTACTATCACTACGGGATTTGAATAGACAATAGAATCTCTCTGCCAATGTGGTATGGCAACACGAACTGATGTACGTACGTGCGAAGTTTTACGTTGTTACTGACTGACTGACTAGGAGATTTAGCCTACGTAAATACTTAGTTAACGGGATAATATTTATTGGATTCAGATATAGGGGAATTAACCTCTACAATATATTGTTCACCATATTGCTGGTATCTTATATTAGTAGGCGGAAAAAAAACTATTCTGTACATGTGTAGTGTAATAACAATACTTTTAGTCCGTAAACTAAATCATACAGACTCCTGATAAAAATTCAAAACTACTTATCATGAAAGTTGATAATTACCTTAGATAAACATTCCAAGCTGACGCTACATATTTGTGCTACTCTCATCGGAAAAGCTTGTCTAGACACTCGAGGGTCGAATTCAACTCCCCCACCACCTGTGCCCACAGAGCATATTAGACCTCGTCCAATACCAGCGAAAAAATGAGTAGCATCATGGATAGGAACCCAAGCAAGTCTTGGTAGATTGTAGGCAACTCGATTGACCAAATCTTGCCAATGTTCGTCAATTAAAGCAAGACGAAGAGAATCGGAGTTACAAGGGGAATGAGTAGAAACATCTCCGTTAGGTGTAGATGTTGGGGTTGCGCGATACACAGCACATAAAGAACCAAGAGCTGAAAGTGCCGCTCCAACAGCAAGCTTTTGACCTGGCTGGAATACAAAATAAAAAGTCAAAATCCAGCTAAACACTAATAAATGTTGTCAAAAGAGTAATTGACTGATGCCAAGTGAAGAAAAGTTGGACTTTCTTCGCAGCATTACGAGTCGAGAATTTGAAAATTCAACTTAACGCCATTATAGAATATGAATGTCTCCCAACACTTGATGAGTTTGGAAAGTTGCGACAACCAGTTCCCTGTGTCTTTCTGTTTGTACAGTTATGATTGTTATAGGGAAGATATTGATTATATTGACAAACCAATAAAACTTTCTAAATACTAAAATCAAAAATATACAATGCACCTACCTATTGCGGCGAAACCATCTGTAGAAATAGATACCATTAGGGATCCATTGGAAATAGTCGTTTAGTTATCCAATAATCAAAGAATATGGTCAGCATTTGTTAATTTTAAATAAAACACTCAAAAACGGTGTTCCATACTTCATATGTGAAAACGAACGGTAAACACAAGTGGTAATAACTTTCGAACGATGAAGTCCATCACAAGTAAACAATAGCAGCCATTATAGATTACAAATAATGGTAATAGAACTAATTCTTCATTAGATCTTTAGGTTGGCTACTTGAAGCTTGTGTTTTTCTTTCATAAAGAGTAGAAATGAGGATGAATTAAGTAAGAGCACGAAACGGCATAGACCCTACAATGTTGAATACCAATTGAAATAAGCTAACTAGTTGACTTCGAGAAAATTATCCAATCGTTAAATGAAACACCTTTGAAATGGGAAGCATCATTTGCCATTGGTCCTCTACATTCGACCAAAAAAGAGGATTTTGTGCGTAAATCGATTGGAACGCCAGCTTGTTTGTAGTTTCTGTATCTACGAAATTTTACATTATTAACTGAGACTCATCTCAGTGATACAAGTAAAAATACAAATTTCGTTTAAACGAATTACTAGTTTAATTTGCTAGGAAACCGATATACAACTCCATAAAAGCTAAGATTACATTTTCTTCAAAGTAAACAGTCGAAGGAACTTGGGATGTAGCAGAAAATTAAAAACAATCGGTGTACCCATGGACAAAATTAATATTAAAAACCTTCATTAAGAGTAGAACTAGGCTGTTAACAGATTGCCTGGATATCAATCAACTAATTATGAATCAGTTGGCGAGTGAATTCAGACGATTATTACTATTGTAGTAACGACATTATACACAAGCGCTAATCAAAGATATCTAAGCACTTATTAAAAAGTTTTGTTTTGTTTTTAACACTTCTGGAAATTAGGCTGAAATTCACATAAAAATTGGGATGAAAATTTTATCCTATAATTTACGCTACAAACAAATCTACCCGTCTAGTTCAGCAGTAAACTTATTGGTGGGATATGACCAGCATATTCTGAATAAATACTTTCAAGGTGCTGTCACCTCATTTTTATTCGTATCTATGATCGATTACTTCATCATTTCCAATCTTTTAGAACGACGATTATGTCAGGGGAATTACGACAGTTAAAAAAAATTCATAAAAAAGTACTACAGATCTATTGAATAAAAACAATTCTTCTTGACATAGAATGAATCCAGCTTTACTAAGAACTAAGTGCCTTAAATATTATGATTGAAAACCCGATTTATAGCTCACGAAAAACTACTTGAACTAAGAACATAAGTACATCTTGACTTTCTTTACAATCTCAATTCAATGACTAATAAACACACTCCATTCGAACTCGAGGTGATAAACATAACTCGGAAATACTACGAAAAACACATTACAAAACAACTAACCCGTAAAGATTGGGACTCAACGCCAGCAGACTTCTCGATGATCTCAATCAGCTGGTTAACGATTTGACGCCGGAGCTGAGGATGGCAGGCAGCCCAATGAGCCAACTCCATATACAGCATACAACCGACTTCTTGAAGAGCAGGAGGGCATGGTCCTGTGAGACCTGGGAGTACTAATTTTGATATAAGATTCGAAATATGTCCTTCAGGATCACGAGGAGATAGACGTTTAGCAACAGTTGTAAGCATGAACAGACATGCTTCAGACTCTCGAAGCACTTCATATGCCGACGCCTGTGCATTCTCAGACATAGCTAACATTTGCAGCTTCTGTACATAATTGTATAGCTAGAAATGGAAGATTATATTTGTTATAAATTTAGCCCGAAAAGTAGGCACTACCTTCGAATATCAAAATGGAAGGGAAAAGAAAGAAGACTAAAAAGTCTCACGTCTTGCAATATAACCATCAATATATAAAGCAATAGGTGCATCAATTATTGTTGTCTTTCTTAACCATAAACTAAGTACTTACAACTACGGTCAAGATAATCGGAAAACTCAATAATGACAAGCGATATGATAAAATTGACAAGTCAAAAATATGAAGGGTACATAACACACAAATTTCAGCACTAACTCAAAACAAAATTGAAATTACATACCAGGACAGCTATTATTGGTACATATTCATGGTATACTTAAAATTGGTTATGTAAATTAGACAGTTAAATTCAGAAACGAAATACTAGGATTATTGCTATCTTTGGTTGAATTCAGGGTCAAGAACTGCACAAGAGGCAAACAGACCATGCAGAACACGTCCAAAAAGTATAAAAAAGCTGCGTGGTTAACGTAGATCACTATTTATGACCATACAATCTATCCTTGAAGTCGCTAACCTCCTTGGATTCACTAACTTCTAGTCTTAGTCGTGTTGGTAGATGCAGACTACATGGTTGGGGTCCGCGCAGCTATCGTAAACAATGGTTGGAGACATGGCTCAGAATCGATCACAATGGCGTAGGTGTATACTGTGGCAAGCCCATTTGGCTACTGTATCATTTATCTAGTCATTGTAACTCAGACTCAATTCACTATGTTAATTTCGGTGTGTATGATCGAATGTATGTCTGTACATTAACTCTTAAGCTATCTTCCTATTGGTTTCAATGTGCAGATAATCGATAATCTATCCACACCCGATTAACTCTCAAATATATATGGATTTTTAACAGACTCACTCATTCACTCTGTTTCATCGTGTGCTTGCTCACCGTACGCTTGTGGATTATTATTATTCATTAACAATAAACTACCTCTATAACTGGTATTCAGGCTTTCAATAATCTCGAGTAAATTCGCAATTCTACTAGGAGATTAGGCCTACCAAAAATACTCAGTTACAGGATATTATTATTTGGAGTCAGATATTGAGGATATTAGCCTCAACAATACACTCTCTATCTTCCTTTAAACTATGAGATTAAAATCGCTTCATATCTTTCTTTCTACATACTAAATCTTTCTTCCTGTACTATATACTTATATGCAATTTTTCTTTTATATATTACCACTACTTTATGAATTCGGTTTTCATTTTGTTGAGCTAATGAGATATGGCAACGTGGACCGATGCACATATGTGCCTGGTCCTACGTTATAGATGACTGACTGATACAATCTACCTTAGTAAGATTAATGTTAGCAATGATGAGAATTGGAGGGTAGGGTAGCTTAAATACTATTTAGAACAAGCAAAGCTTGTCATAACCTAGTGAAATTAGATTGTGCGTAACTGTCAAAGATCGATTTCAGAACAATAATTTGCAAATTATAATACACGTTAACCATGATTACTATTCTAGTATATGCAGCTTGCTACATAATACATGATGTTACTTTGTTGTTACCACACATCGTTATTGATGCGGTTCATGGCAAAGATGACACAGTAGTTTCCATCCCCCACAAAATACTTATAAGACCTAGAGAGCGACAAATTTCAAACAACCATCCATGACGTCTATTTGGAAAAATCAGCAGTTATCCTTTATCAACGTAGGACTTGGTACTGTACGACTGGTCACACACTAGCTACCTTGATCAAACTGAAGAGCAATTCAAATTATGAAATGAATGTTGTAAAATAAAGTTAATAAAAATATAAAAACAGTATTTAAGAAATCACACCAATTATATAATATTGTGTATATATAATTACCTCGACAAAAATAGCCTCAGCTCCAACCAAACCCAGAATATCTTGCATGAGATCATGAACATCCTCACGAAAATCTCTTAATTCATCGGTGCTTTCTAAGTCGGATGTATTACTAGGACAGTAACTAGTTAACGCAACCACAACGCGAGTGAAGTAAGGAATTAAGGCTGCAATTGGGCGTGCCACGCCAGTAGAGGTATTAGAGTTGTTAACCGAAGATTCCAAGGGACCCTGATTCACAGATACTGCAGCACTCATGGACCGGTGCTAATTCAAATAAGAGTACGAAAAGTCATTGTAAATAAATTCCATAATGTTCAACAAATTAGAAAGTACACAATAAACAGTGATGGCAATACGTTTGTAACGTAGGGGGAAATGTTATGGGAAAATGACACAGTTTGGATATCTGCTGAGAGCTGAATTCTTTATTATCGGAATAGGAGGTAGAGACATTCTTTTATGATTTACTTGACCTTTATTTAACAGTTTATCAGTATGCTTTAACTGGTTCGTAAAATATGCTTCTTATTTTCAGTATACCCCAAAGGAAGAAATGTCTTTGAGACTAAGCTAAACTACCTACCACCGAATTATTTGGCCATATTACTTTCTTCTTTTCAATGATTTACTTATGCATGAATCATTTTATTGACGGTCCATTCCTTGCTTTTAATTGCGTTTAGAATATAAATTTACTTCTGTCTACACAGAATACTAAAATCTAGTTAAATCCGAAAAGACTTAGGAATGGACCCATCATTGTAGTTTTTATCAGTTATCAGTTGTGACGCTACGGGTTAGGGAATAATCAGTGCCGTATTTTTAATAAAAAGTAGTACAATCCCTTTGTTGAGTAGTAGAGCGAGTGTCAAGATAGTTGGTTTAAAAACAAACAAGATAGCCATTGATTGGTTTAGTGAAACGTTAGAAATATTTTTAGACACTTAATAAAGATACAGTTCTTCAAACTTACTCGAATTGCATCATCAGCCAACGAATGTAAGGCGTGGAATGTAATAGATGCCAATTCACGACTACCGAGAGGAGGAGGTATTTCAAGAACTACAAGAATACACTCCATAGTACGCAAGTCTCCAAGACCACCAGATCCAGGGCTAGTGGGCTGATCTACTAGAGGAGGCCGTAAAGTTCTGGCTAATGACGAGAAAATGTGAGCCAAACAAGTACACCGATCTTTGTACAGTTCAAGCTGTTCTTGTTGTTGAATTGATCCCAACGCAGACGCGACAGAATTGGAACATTCCTGCACAACACTAACTAGACTGTAAATATTTTCTTGAAGCCAACGCAGTAATTCACTGTTTGAGTTGCTAAGTTGCTTGAATCAGAATTAACAAAAGGAAGGTAACCATTTTCCAACAAAAACGTAAGTAAACGAAGTTGAAAAAGGCAAAAGTTTCAATTTAGTTTGTAATAGTTTGGGTTATCCTATTGTTAATATTTTGAGTGAATTTTAATCAGTCCTAGTATATGTGCATCCTGCGAGGATTCAGTCAGTCAGTATTTCTTGATGAACCTGAAAAGGAAATTGGATTAGTGTTGGTCTTGACGACCTGGGAGCGTGACCGCAGAGCCCAAGGGACAACTGCTTGAGGCCGGTCGCGCACGGCCTTTTTGTGGAAGGTTTTTGACGTGTTAGCTCCGTTCTTCAAGGGGCCTTACCGCCGGAGACGGAAATCCGTGAGGTAAGGTGAGGTGTGCATTTTTAGGGTCGACCTTTTCTAACCCCACCCCTCCTTGTGGGAAGGCAGCATCGCTGTCATGCTGGTTGTCCGAGGGAAACACCTGCGAGGATTGCCTCGATATATCCATTATGACATAAGTCTACATAAAATAGACGGAATGTGACTAGCAATAAAATCAAGGACGCGAGTTTCGTGTTGTTCGAAAATCACTAACTGGATGAGCCAACGTTGATATTTGAAGAGAAATGTAGTATCCCAACCCCGGATTTCACTGCTAGGCGCATTCAATCTACTATATAAAAAATTCTCACCTGCATATATAATCAGTATATTCAGCAGAGACCAAAATCGAAAGGCTAACTACTTGATTCAATGTTACATGACACTTAAGAATAAGGATAAGCTAAGAGAATATAAAACCATGGAGGCTTCATAAATCGACGAACCAAACTATCGTGACTTGTCAGAGACAGGTTTTTCTTGAAGTAAGTTGATCGGTACTTTGGAATTTATTTTCCAGGAATTAAGGAATGTTACTTGAATGTATTTGTAGATGAATATGAGTCCTCGTCGACACTATTTTAGGTCAGTTTGAAGGAGACAAACGGTTTGTCATGAAGTTTCATAACAAGTAAGGATTTACTTTGATCCGTACATGCTTCTAACGACTAAAGAACTGTTCCGAAACATTTAACAGTAAGATGGGACATTCAAAAGGCGCACATAAAAAGCGGAGATAAGTATTTAAGCGAAAAATGTTGAATATGCCATACAGAAGTTACAGTTTTTCTAGTACAAGGTTAATCTACAGACATGTAATTAACAGTAATACAGCTAAAATAAATTGGCTTACCTTACACTGGTATAAAAGTGCTAGCACCCACTGAGATGCTGCATCGAAAGTTGATTCAGGAGTAGTTGAAGGATTCCGAAGGATAGCAAATGCAGTGTTTAAGAGAGGGTCAATCGGTACATCGTGTTCAACCATGACTCCAGTATTATCCCACCAACTTGCAAGACAATTATATACTTTAGCTAAGATAACCATTTGTTCTGATTTTGCTCTGTGAGACTAAAAACAAATAGAAGACCTCAGTATTGGTAACACAAGCAATAATGCCGTCTACCTTAGCCAGAACCATCATTTCAAGGCTTACGAACAGGATTCTGCATAAAATTATTGGTTCACGCAAAGGGACTTCTATCTAGTAATAATACCATCAATTACGAAAAGACAAAATGAGACCGGATTTCGGAATTTTTTCCTTTGTTTTAAAGAAAAACAAACAATGCTTGTGAAATTAATTAATTAATTATTCCTTTTTCGTGCTATCATTTTGGGTGCAAAACCCTGTGGCTAACTACTTGATATAATGGTTTGAAAATAAATACATATTTCAAACTACAAATATGAAATTGATACTTAAGTTTAACAACAACTAGATCAGATTTGTAATATGATGTGACTATGATAACTTTTACTTAACTTTCGAAAGCGGCTACAAAAGAGTAAATATCTTACGGGTAAAAGACAGAATGGATAGTATTTAAACCATAAAATGCTTCTACTCAATAATCTGTATGGGAAATCCGGTTGGCATAGTAAAGACCTTATGCTTTTAAAGAAAGTTGGAGTTCGTCTTTGTTGAGAAAAGTACTTAAAAGAATTAGTGTGGTAAATGATTACTATGGAATACAAAAGATAAACCACTGGAAAACCAGGCTTTCAGTAGCCGAAAATCTTATTATGTATTGAATATCTGAACACCTTAACTGACCGTCAGCCATACTTTACTCACCCACCACCCTCAATATACATGAATGGCTAATTGACGTAAGTGGGGTTGAAAAGGCCATAGACAATCTAAGGAGAGGGGAGTAGGATGTTCAGATGGACTAGCTCCAGAAATCTATATTAGTTGGGACATGGTACAACAAAACAATTCATTTGTGTGGTGCATTTTTTTCTTCTGTAATACATGCCTGCTATTTTTTATCAACTACAGTGATTATATGTAGCAATGAAGATAGCTCATTTTTGTCCTACTCTGATACGTCATATTTCAAGATGTATCTTAAGCACTCTAGTTGAATTACATTCTTGATGCTTATATATCAACTTTTGGTGTATGTAAAAAATGGAAATGGTTGAAACAGGTAAACAGTACAATTTATGACCATATCTACTTATGGAACAAGAAATATGTAAATAGGATATAAAGTAAATTACGTTCCAAATGATACGGAAGCAACAAAGGTTTTAAGAGTATGTGTTGTAATTCTGATGGAGTGGTACACAAAATAGCAAAGAAATAAGTTATAGAGCAAATTTAGAGTGGGAACTACGACCACTTTAATTTGACGATGAATGAGAAGACAGCTATCCTTCTAAAATTAATATCAAGATGAATCGGTATGTAAAAATGTAAGGGTAGTTAACAACAGATCGTAATTTATTTGCTGGCGGTAAAGAATACATGTGATCTACACTTATAGTAAAGTTACAAAATATAATATTGCAAAACCTGTCTTTACAAGGACATACGTTGAAAAAAAGATGTATACGGCATCAACAACCGATTTGTAGTGAAGTGATGCACAATTTAACCTGAGGTTGTCAAATGCTTACCAGAAACTCCAACACAAACTGTTTGCTCCCTTCAAACTGACTCATAAGAGCGTGTCGACGATTCATTCCTAGTCGAAGAGTACTGCTGTTCATCTACAAGTGCATTAAAATAACATGCTCCCTACCTCTTCAGGAATAAACTTCAGAATATCAATTAAGTAGCTACAGGAGACGTCTGTTTCTGAAAATCTGTGGAAATATTTTAATAAATGCTCTGCAATTACTTCGAAACAATATCTTTGATACCATCTTTCCACTGAACCATATGGCAAAACAAATCTGCGACGGCTAAGCATAACTGATTTGCTATCGGTAGGCTAGTGTTTTCTCTAAGTTCTTGGACATGTTGCAGGAGAGAGTTTTTTAGTCCCTGGAACTAAGCTGGATAGATAATCGAAACATACTTCGTGCGACTCCACTGGGAGTTCAGTAAAGTGACATTGAATCTTAAAGTATTACTGGCTCCTACATAAAACATACCTTTTTGCGTATGGTTTGAGCTCCAAAGTAACAAGAATTTAAATCTCTATTCATGTAAAGCAACTGATCGGATATTTGCCAAGCATAAACCTAAAAGGTCATGTAGGTAAGAAAAGTTACTGATTTTTGAAATTCACACAGCCATTTTGAAGCTTGCTCTTTGACAGATGTATCTGGATTCATATACAACGCATCAATGGCAGATAACACAGACTCAACAGACAGGCTGGAGCCCTCTACCATCCTTGTTTGGTTATTTTTGAACTACGCACGACCCTACTACTTGTACAACGTGCCAAGCTGTAGACCTATGTTACAATACACTGGAGATAAATGCAAGGCTATCTATCAACACAAATTTATTAAAAATATGATTGGAAATTAGTATCATATTGAAGAACAAGGCTAATAACATATTTCCTGATATTTGAGAGTTAGTTCAAGATAATGTTGTTCGCTTAATTGGTGTGTTTGACGGAACAGTTCAACATGTTATGGATCATTCCGAAGTCACCTACTGATATTAAAAAATTCATCACAGTATTTGACCAATTTAAAACTGGAAGAACAGAGCATGCTGTGTTCAAATCCTAGAACTATTAATATGTATGGTAACGAAATAATTCCCACTTCACATCCAATTTCTGACCCCCAGGATCAGAATAGCAATCAACATCAGGACGAAGAATTCTCGCATCCTACAGTACCAATCCACCGGATAAAAATGGCCCTCGAGCATAAAGGCGGTTATAACGACTGCCGATTAGACATGGCAGATACTTCCTAAGCTAGCGCTTGTGCAGATAGCTATAAACCAAGATACAAGTGTGGAGATAGGCCTGACAAGCTTATTTTGTAAATAGTTTTCAATCTTATTTGTATTCATTTTGTCAACCACAATTATTTAGTGAGCCTCGATTTTTTTTATATAGACATCTACTATATATACATCTACATATTTTTTTATTATTATTTGGCACTACACACCATTTATGTTTTTGACATTATGAACTCTCCTAATAAACTTATTGATAAATATAGCCCATCAACCAACCCCTTTCATTCATCACAGCCAAAAGATAATGTTTTAAACTCAGTCAACGCTATTTCTGAACTAAGATTACCAACATACGGTGTCAACAACCCTAGAATTTGGTTTGCTCAAGTTGAGGCACTATTTTTGGCGAGGGGTATACGTTCGCAAGCTACCGAATATGCCCACGTCGTCAGTGCACTACCTATAGAAGTAGCAACGGAAGTCGGTGACCTGATCGACAACGTACCAGAAATTGACCCTTATGACAAGATAAAAGCTTCAGTAATCCAACGCACATCGCTCTCAGATGAAAAACATTTACAACAACTGCTTACCTCATGCGAACTAGGGGATAAGAGACCTTCACAGTTGCTCCGACACATGAGATAGCTCGCCGGCCCATACAAATTAGACGAGACGCTACTTAAGCAAATGTGGTTACAAAGGTTACCACATAGTGTTAGACAAATTCTCAGTATTTCAGGAACCTTTGTCACCCTCGACGACTTAGCTGACATGGCTGATAAGATGATGGAAATATATCCCCATAGTCGCGGAATCAACGCGGTACAAACCTCTAGTAGAGATGCTATGAACCCTCCTCTAGACATTCAGCAGCAAATAGCACACTTAACTCAGCAAGTAGCATCGTTGCAGGCGACCATTGCCACGATCCACTCTCGTCCTGCCAGATCGATCTCGAGAAAGCGATCAAGGCCCAGACCTCGCACTAGCTCATCCAAACGGGCAGCGGACACTCGCTGGTATCATGCGACTTTCGGGGAGAAGGCACGTCGTTGCACTAAACCGTGCAACTTTACGACAAACAAGCCAGATTATCAGTGAAACGAGCCGGCCAGACAGTAATGGCGGCGTCTGTTACTGGCCAACAAGTTAGCCGCCCCTTTCACATCAGGGATCGCATTTCCGGCTCGGACTTTTTAGTCGATATATGAGCAGAAATTAGCATTATCCCACTGCACCTCTCCCGAAGACAACAAACAACAAGCACTAAGCTGTCTCTCATTGCGGCTCACGAATCAATTATCAAAACTTACGGAGAGCAATCTCTTATATTATATGACCAAGAAGAGATTAATCGACGCAAATACATGTTTACAGGTAGATGGTACACCTTCCAACGACTATGAAATCCATGGTGTACGGATAATGAAACCTGCGAACAACGTTTTCAACGACATTCTGTCAGAATACGAGTGCATCACGAAATCAGATTATCAAAAGTAATGTAATCCACATCAGGTGCGACACCACATCATTACCACCGGTCCACCTATTAGCGCCGGGGCGAGGAGACTACCGCCAAGCAAGTTGCAAGTAGCTAAAAGAGAATTCAAACATATGATGCAACTTGGTATTATCAGACCATCTAGCAGCCCATGGGCTTCCTCACTACACATGGTCCCGAAAAAGGATCAAGGTTGGCGACCCTGTGGAGACTACCGCCGCTTAAACAACCTGACTATTCCGGATCGATACCCATTCCTCACTTACACGACTTTTCTTTGAATCTACACGGAAAACGGATCTTTTCGAAGTCAGATCTTGTCCAAGCATATCATCAAATACCGATGGCACCTGAGGATATCGAAAAAACAGCCGTAATCACACCTTTTGGCCTGCTTGAATTCTTGAGGATGCCTTTCGGATTAAAAAACGCTTCCCAAACCTTTCAGAGATTCATGGACGAAGTAACCAGAGGTTTGGATTTTGTTTTTGTCTATGTCGACGATGTTTTAATCGCCAGTTCTTCCACTGAAAAACATGTTCAGCACTTCCACACACTTTTCAAACGTTTCAAAAGTTATGGTGTTGTAATCAATCCTCCACTCTGAAGTTCCTGGGACGTTTCATTGATTCCCGAAGAATTAAACCGTTGAAAAAATAGTCGAAGCCATTGTCAACTTTCCTGAGCCCAAGTCGATAAAAGCATTACGCCGGTTCCTGGGAATGTGCAATTTTTACCGACGTTTTCTCCCTAGCTGTGCGGCCATTTTGCAACCTTTGACGGATTTACTGAAGACGGATAAAACCGCAGCTCAGACCAAAAAAAGAATACCTTCACGTTAACACCTGAGGCCAGAAAGGCTAACGCTAAAGCGAAATTGATGATATCCAATGCTACCATGCTACAGCACCTAAACACCGATCCCACAACAAACCTCATCCTCTGCACTGACGCCTCCCAGAAAGCAGTAGGAGCAGTATTACAGCAATGCGTTAACGACAAGTTTACTCCTATAGCGTTCTTTTCCAAACGATTATCACCAAATCAATTGCGTTATAGCACCTTCGGACGCGAACTTCTGGCTATGTACTTAGCTGTAAAACACTTCAACTTCCTGCTTCAGGGACGTGATTTCACTATTATGACTGATCATAAACCACTTTGCTATTCTTTCAACACGTCCTACGACAAACATTCTCCACGGGAAGCCAGACAAATGGATTACATTTATCGATTCACTACGGACATCCAGTTCATCAAAGGCTCCTCCAACATTGTCGCTGACGCTCTATCTAGAAAGGATATCAACATGATGGTACACAACCACAACATCAGCCTTGAAGCTTTAGCTAAACTACAAGTGGACGATGCAGATTTGAAGACCTGCAAACAGAAGTCTAACTTGAGTCTTAAGCCTGTACCCATTCCTTTCTCAGATGCATCTATTATTTGCGACACTTCAACGGGTAACAATCGCTCCTTTGTGCCACAACCCTGTCGACGAAAAATATTTCAACAGCTACATGGACTGTCGCATTCAGGCATCAGCGCTACCACAAAGCTTATCACAGAACGCTTTGTTTGGCCAAAAATCAATTCGGATGTTAAACGTTGGACACGTAACTGCCTCCAGTGCCAACTCAGCAAAATCCAAAAACACACTATCAGCCCGATCGGTGAATTCCCTATTCCCGACAAACGTTTTCAGCATATTCATTTGGACTTAGTTGGGCCTCTGCCTCCGTCAAACTCCTTCACCCACATTCTTACTGTGGTGGACAGGTTCACAAGATGAGCCATAGCCTGCCTCATAAAAGACACTTCGGCAGAAACAGTCGCTTCAGTCTTCCTCGACCGCTGGATATCTAACTATGGAGTACCATCAATAATCACAACAGATCGTGGTCCCCAATTTCAATCTGCCATTTTTCAGGAGTTCACTAAACTTCTAGGGGTCAACCACACTAAAACCACAGCTTACCACCCAGCAGCTAATGGCATGGTTGAAAGATCCCATCGCCAATTAAAAAGCTCACTGATGGCGCAAGCTGATTCATCAAAGTGGAGCGATGCCTTACCGCTTGTACTCCTCGGTATTCGTTCAACCATAAAGGAAGACATTGGATGTACAGCCGCCGAGTTAGTCTATGGTACAACTCTAACGTTACCTGGTCAACTATGAACCTACAACGCACGGGGATTCTACTCACTTCGCAAGTCGCCTATTACAAACGATGCAGAATATTAAAGCAATAACCCCTCGCAAACACAACAATCGAGTCCAACTTGATAAAAATCTTGAAACGTGCAAATTCGTCTTCGTTCGAGTAGATGCGGTTAAAAAAACCATTAGAACAACCATACGAAGGCCCATATAAAGTAATTAAACGCACACAAAAATACTTCATCAACAGAGATGGCAACAAGCAGACCATTTCTATAGACAGAATAAAACCTGCTTTCTATGAAGCTACTCAAGTCCAAGAAGACAACGCCGTTGACAAACAACCCCTCCCACCAGTGACTGAAAACCAGTGGAGGATAAAAAGCTTAGTACTAAGCCTTCTTGTTTAACACTCTCCGGCAGACCTATAAAAAACCCAAGCGTTATGTCCATTTCGTCGACTAAAAAAACCAAAAAAAACAAAACACACACCTACCTTTGTCACACACTACTAATTTCACCCAAAAAATTTTTTTCCTTTTCATAGTGTACATAATCATATTTTTCCACAATTACTCGTTTTGTCACATTTATTTTTTTTATAAAAAATTTTTATTACTATAATAAACGAGTAAACTCTATTTAATTACCCATTTATTGTACACAAAAATAAACAGTTCAATTTGTTTGGGTTATTAGCAGTTTTGCACATTATTATTATCATTGTTACCCAACCAAGACATTAAATGACAGTGTCTTCATTTTTTTTGTGTGTTTATTATGCTATGCTACATCTCTGCTACACGTCATACTCATCTCCACATTTTTGTTAGCTATAACTGTAAATATAATT